ACATAACACAAAAATTAAAAATAGAATATACAGTAGTAGGTGGAAATATAGAGCTACACACTCATGTACAGTAGGTGGCGGTATGCAGCTATAAGTTGTTTGCTATCCGCCAAGAAGAAGAAAAAAAAACGCCATCTTGTAGTGCCTCCACCTGTGCGCTAGGTGGCGGTGCAATCAGTGAAGGAACCTTCAGACACAGACATGCGGATGTTATTTGGTAGAAAACAGCCGACCACGTGTTTTAATGAAATAAACACATTTTCGCGTCCGCTTTAGACATTAACACCAACACCTCTGGACTATTTATTTTTCATTCAACATGTGCAGTAATTATCCCACGCCGCTTTACTCCCACGCTGGACGCGGAAGCTTCCAGGATGTGTACGAGCCTGCAGAGGACTCCTTTCTGCTGATTGATGCCCTGGAGAAAGATGCAGAGAGGCTGCTGCACATGAGGTGCGAGTTTCTAATACTGTGTTGTTCCTTTATGAAATGATGATCCTTAAATAAAACAAAAAATGTTTGCAGCCCCTGCGTGTGTTTGGAGGTGGGCTGCGGGTCTGGGGTCGTCTCTGCATTCCTGGCATCAGTGGTTGGACCTTCAGCTCTCTACCTGTGAGTTATTCTCATTAATTAATCCTTGCACGCTTAATTACTTCTTAAAATACGTCACTTCTACAAATATCTATCAACCATTGATCTCTACAGATCTATACAACCTGAAAATCTCTAGGTTTTCAGAGGAATTAACTGAAACAAAGTGGTAAAGTGTGTTTTTTTTATATCACAGTAAATGTTACTGTGTAAAAATAAGTGATCTGTAGTTATGTGGAAAAAAAATTCACCCAATATACATTATTTTTTTTATATTTTGGTGATTTTCAGAGAATTGAAGTAAAGCAGAATGGGCCGTACTAAAATACTTGCATCTTAAATATACTGTAAATTAAGATTTTCACAACTTTGTTTATTAATTATAATCTGCAGTTCAAATAACATAACAAATGGGGAACTAATAAGTTATTATTGGAATACTGACATAAATACAGGAACCAGTGCAATCGAATCCTGTGAAAACTACACTGTGTATGAATATTTGGTAATAGGCTAAGGATTAAAAATCTTAAGTTATTGTCTTATTAGTTTTTTATTTTTTTTAAATTGACAAAACAGCTAAACTATGCAGACCTTCTAAGAGGCTGTAGATTCTGTAAAAACTCTCCATGACACAAGACAGCACTTCTGGGGATGTTTGATTTTGGTAGATGTGATAGAAATTAAGTTTTTAAACATATTTAATGGACCTAAATAAGATAAATAATAATAAAATGAGAACATCCCTCTGGTTCCTCTTACATAAATTCCTAGATAACTGAGTTGTTCTGCACATCCTCTCTAAATTGGGTTAATCTTGGCAATGGTTATTTTTCTATTTGTGGACCTCCTGTGGATTTGTGAGGCAAACCTGAAAGCTTTAAGAATTTAATTTAGCCTATTGTTGGTTTAATTAGTCCTAAAATCCAACGAGAGATTAATAAACTAAACTGAGTATTAATTATTTAACTTGTGAGCAAAAGGTGGAGTAAAACTGGGACTAAATCAGATGGATAAACTAGAGCAAACAAGGAGTAAAACTCAGTAAAAAAGCACTGAATGTAGAGAAAACAAACCTTTTTGATTTGAACCTTCACTTCAGTCTCCACAGTGATAATTTAAGCTAATTGCTGTATATGTTATTCATATTTAGGCAAGTGCTAGACTGCTTAAAATCTTCGTAAATTTACAAAGTGAATTATCTTAGTACAGATAAAGTAAGATAAAATTAAAATGACATACCTCGTTATAATTTCTCAGAAATCCTGGTATTTTTTTAATATCTGGCGCAGGTCCCTCACCTCGGCAGCGGTCAGCACATTGAATAGGTGGGCTGGTGCAAAAATACTGCATATGAACCTGATATGTCCTCATGTGTTAGCACTAATGTTGTGTTGAAAACGCAGACAGGGTTTTTATCATTATGGTATTTTTATATATATAAATAAGTGAAATGGAGTTGAGTTTTAATGTCCGTCGTATTTTAGCATGAGAAATTGGGGATAGGGAGTGTGAGTGTGTGAAAACACTGAGATGCGTGAGTCTCACACCCAGTGGGTGAGAGAGGACAGCCCTTTCTCTATTTATTCATTGGATCGCTGATAGACCGAAAAACATGAAGTCACCTGTCGCCATCTTGGTACTCCCAACTTTCACAGAGTCATGCCCTAAAAATGCCTGTAATGTGATGTAACCACCATAACAATGTAATAGATACATGTATCTCAAATATACATAATCAATTTAGCACTTTTGGCACATCAGATAGTGTGTGTGGGTGTCTAATATTCTTAATATCTGACTGCAGTATTATTATACTCCATTAACACACAAATGTTGTGATGGATTTGTGTTATGTTACATAATTTATAAACTTTATGCTGAATATTCAATGTTCCATAGTTCCATAACTGATGCTATAGAACAGCATGTTTGTGTCAATGTGATGACTTTATCTTAGTTTTAAAAGCCTGTGGCGCCCTGAAAATGAGAGCATTATCATTGTTCGATGTTGTAGAGCACGTATTGTTTACATTCCGACTGGAGTACCAATATGGCGGCTGGTGACTTTACAACACCATGTACTGCGTTCTGCGCATGCGCAAACAGATATACATCCAGGTCTCCATAAATAATGTAATTATGGTACTAAAACTACTTATTTCTATCCATAGCACACTAAAGAATAGTAATACACATCTGTAAAAAATGTTTTATGACTGTTCTGAGACAATTTTTATACTGTTTACATTTTCTTCGTTAAAGTGCTTCTCTGACATCATCATTGGACATGCTCAGAGCAGTCCGGCGAAATATGATTAAACCATGTTTATCTGCATTTTAGTTCTTTCTTTATATTACGCACTATATAGCATAAGGTTAAAACGAAACAACAACTTAAAACTCAAAAACACTAAATTTATGTTTATTTATTTATTTTTAACCAGAAAGTCCCATTGAGATTCAGAATCTCTTTTTCAAGAGAGACCTGGCCAAGGTAGCAGCCAAACCACAGGAAGTTCATACATATTTACAACATATTACATTTTGCAAAATAAAGAATTAAAAAATTAAAAACATAAAAAAATAAAATCAGAGCAGTATGTTAAAACACAT